AATTATACTCTCCCTCTCTTTCTATGCTTGAGTGCGTGTGTGTGTAAACAAGTGAGTAATTTAAGGTTTTGGTTTTTTTTAGCAATAGTTGATACACTGCTGCTACATTTGTGTTTTACTAGACAATCTGTGATCCATTGGGTCATCATTTCAGACATATTTCATTACCGTGTGCCTTCCCCAACCTCACTACACCTCACTTGCACCACCATGCACCCCCTAATGCCCTTTTCTGCCTCTTGCAGTGTCTCTCAAACACCCCATTGAACTCCTCTTTCTTGATATACACAGCACTTCTTGTACACATCTTTCCAACCCAATGCACATTCCCCACCTGCTCGACATCTTTTGCACATATAGGCTTGGTTTCAGAAGAGTGACCAGAGTGTGCTTGGATGCATGAGAGGTGTTGAACAGCTTGAGTAGGGAGCGTGTGTGTGTGGCGCAGATAGGGAAGGTTACCAAGTTATGCCAGGGTGTGTGAGAATGGTGACATGAAAGACAGAGGTGGGGCATGAGGATGTGACATAGGTCAGGAAGAGCATCTGCAGGGACACAAGAAAGTTCCACATGTGTTAGGATGCACAGAGATGCTGCATGGGTCAAAAGGGTGCATAGGGTTGCTTGAGAGTTGCCATGAAGGATGAATGGAGGGGAATGAGAGATGCCATGTAGGTTGGGAATGGCGTGCAGAGATGTTCAGTGGTCCGTAAAAGATGCCATCTGGGTTGGAGAGGCAGGTGAGACTGCAGTGCAGGTGGAAAGGGTGCATTGGGTTGCACAAATGGTGCAAAGTGAGTGCAGAGGGGCTGGGGAGATTGCGGAAAGTGCTATTCTGAATCTCAATCTCAAATCAGAGTTCTTATTAATTAATTATGCACTTTTCAAATGTTGCAAACAATTCTCCCTCCCTCTCCCTCTCCCCCTCTTTCCCTCCCTCCCCCTCCCCCCTCTCTCTCTCACACACACACAGGATGGTTTGTGTCCATATCTGGCTGAATTAATGTTACAAATGGGGTATCTTATTTTACAATTAATTTTTAAAAGCAAGGGATAGTAACTAATTTTTATCATGGATTTGCTCATTTCAAGCATATACTGTACATGTATGGATGCTCATATACAATATATCACATAAACANTGTGTGGGCGCAGCGCACCCACAAGCGAACCAGCAGTAGTGCCTGCCAGAACCCACCCCTGAGGAGACCCTATGCCATTTCAGACAAATGGCTGTTCAGACTCTTCTTAAAAGCCTCCAGGGATGGAGCAACCACAACTTCTGGTGGCAAGATGTTCCACTGGTTTATTGTTTTCACTGTTAGGGAATTTCTCCTTAGTTTTAGATTACTTTTTTCCTTGATTAGTTACTTGCCTTGCCTTCTGGTGCTTTGTGAAGTAGGTTGACCCCTCCCTCCTTTTTTTGTGGCACTGCTACATGTGCTACAAATATTGAAACACTGCTATCATGTCACCTCAGTCCTTCTTTTCACTAGACTAGACAAACCTAACTCCTGCAACTGCTCTTCATCTGTTTTAGCTTCCAGCACTCTAATCATCTTTGTTTGCTCTTTTCTGCACTCTTTCCAGAGTGCAAGATCACAGTTTGTCAAAGAACAGAGTGCCCAGGAAGAATGAATGAATGTAACCCTGCACATTGACTCTTACCGATGCCTTGTGTGACATTTAGAGAGAGTTGGAACATGCATTAATGGAAACATTAAATGTAGCCTTTATTGGCTGTGAAATTTCCAAACTTTAGTTATGTAGACTTCAGGTGAAGTAAGTAGTGAGCTAAGAAACCTGAAATGACTGATTCTTATGAAATATTATTTAGGTGCAACCTAAAGACAAACATGCTATGCTACTTTTTTTTCCTTCATACGCTGGTGGTCAAAAGTAGTTTCTTAAGCAGTAAAGAAGTCTTTGAAAATGGGAAAGATCATTTGGTAATGAAACATCTGCCCACAGTACCCAACAAAACTACATGGTCTGTTGATAAATATTTATTTAATGCATGTAATTACTGGATCAGCAGAATAAATGTGGTCAGGTCCTTGTAATTAATGCATTGTCAAAAGTTCATTTAAGTATAATAATTTTACTGGGAAAATGCTGTCGATGTTGTTCCTGCAATAATTTGTTAAATTAAGCGCAATAAATATGATGCTACTGTGTGATATATATTTATTTTTAAGCTTTTCCCAATACTACCAATGCATTTAAGGCAGCTTCCTTACACCTCGTCCCACCCCCTGCATCCATCTTGATTTTTATATTTTAAAATATGCTAAAATAAGTGGGGATCATCTGATATATTTTTTGGGAATCCGAATAAACCACTTAGCATTGTATTTCTAGCTCACAAATAATTCAGTATGATGTTTCTCTCTCTAATACTTGGGTCCAGACAATTAAACGTTGGCTGGACTTTGTTTTCCTGGTGCTTTTGGTCCAAAACAAATAGATAGTTGTAGAGTTGCACTAATGGCCAATGTGACAAGGTGAACTCAAGAAAGATGAATTATATTGCAATCCACTTCACACGAGAGTGCTGTGAAGATCATTCAGAATCTACAACTGTGATGGGCATGCTGAGATATAGGATATAAAATGCCACTGATCTGCAAATTCCATTGATCATCCACTGGCTTCTGAGAGCAATTCATGGTGCTAAATATCACCTATAAATCCATTCATAATAAACCTGGTAATTTGAGTGGTAGCTTGTCTTCATTTGTTTCTACCTACATGGTGAGATTGAACAACTTGGGTGAACCTTGGGTCCCTTCAATAAATTGTCAAGGGATATTGGAACCAGGGAAGCATGCCTTGTTTGTCAGGGCACCTGGTCTCGGAAATAGCATCCCCTCAGGCATCTGTATAACTTGCTTCCATGGATTAGGAAATCCTTGAAACTGGTACTGCAGTCAGTTGTCCTTGAGGCAGAATCCCTTGTAGGATGTTGGTGGTTATACAGAGTTTGCCATTTGGGTAGGTACAATCTGTATCTTTGGTTTTTTCAATCTTTCCACTTTTGAAAATGTAAGCCAGAATTGCTCTAAATTTAAATAAACAATTCTCTAGAAATGGAAGATCCATACAGAGATAGCTCCATTTCAGTAGATGGAGGAAAAAAGGATATTAACTTCAATCTAATAATATCACCGTTTTCTCCAGATGCTAACAGCTTCCAATAAACAATCCACTTTGATTCAGGTCAAAAATGGCATCTAGTGCAAATATAAGGATTTTATTTGCAATTTAAAGCCAGAAAATGAATGATCTCTAGCCAGACTTGCTTTAATTAACAGATGAAGAGGATTTATTCTGATTCCTATATTTCTATTACAAAACAGCTTCCCAACAGTTCTGCATAGAGGAAGCAGAATATCATATCATTNCATTTGTCTGAAGTGGTGTTGGGTTTCTTGCCTAAACAGGGGGTTGGACCAGAAGACCTCCAAAGTCCTTCCAACTCTGTTATTCTAGTCTTTCTATCTTGGATCCATTCTGTCCCATATGATAGGTGAGTTCATTAAACTTCTCTATTCGCCCATTCCTTCATGCATTGTTCCTCTACTCATTTGCTTCTTGAGAAAAGTAGTTTTTTTTTTATCTCAATAGAGGAGAAGTTCCCCAAATATGGATTGGGATCATATTGAGAGGTGATAGATTTGTTTTACTCTGCCTCTTTATCAGGAAAAACTGAACCATCATCAAGGCTTATTGTTTCCATAAACTGGTCTTCATAAACAAGGAAGGATCTTTCATTGAAACTTCATGATTAAAAATCTTATTCTTAGCAGAGACTCACCTGTGGGATTTTGTAGGTGCCCAACATGGATGTTATCTGGATGGAGAGGCCAGTTTCAGCCCCTTCCAGAACAGCCACTATGTTTCTCTGTCTCCCACACCTGTAGTTGGGAACACTGGCCTCTCCTTCTGAGAGCAGGTCCAGCAAAGCATCCGAAGTCTTTTCTGCATTGTAATAATTTTCATAGACAGTGTAACCCAGGGTGATATTAGGCAAGAGATGGGAATCCTGGTTGATCTCTTGGATAGCAAAAAGGAAGGATAGTAGGTTCCAAAATTTTGTGAAACCCATCCTGCAAGGAGAATGTATTACAAATACAGTTATCAACAAAAATAACATCTTATTTAATCTCTTTTTTACCCAAATCCTTCTAATCTCTTTTAGCTCAGGAATTCTTCTGTATGGATTACTGCATTGTAGAAAAACATGTCAGTTAAAAGTAATACAAAAACTGCCAACATATATTAATAAAATATGTCTTATTATATTTCAAACCACTAACTATGTGACAGCTAAGCTGATTTGAGCACTTCATGACATATTTGGATACATTTTTTCATCTATCATTTATATTTCATGTTAAGATATTCATTGCAACTTCGGTCTAAAGCAGTGGTTCTCAACCTGTGGGTCAGGACCCCTTTGGGGATCGAATGACCCTTTCAGAGAGGTCACCTAAGACCATCGGAAAACACATATTTTCAAAAAAATACAGAAAACATAAAATAATGTTATGGTTGGGG